GTCTGGTCGGACCGGGTTTTGTACCTAAGGGCCATAGATCATCAGGCCGGTGTTCTAGCCACACAGCCGATTATTATCGATCCGATTATTATCCGATCCGATTATTTTCGATCTAACGACCCAAGCTGCTCATTTGAACTGTGTTCAGCGATGATTATTTACAATAACATACTACTCGAGATATATATAATAGAGTGCACAATTTCACGGGTTTGAATGATAGAAACAAAACTGGTTTTCTGTAATAATTTGAGTAATGAATATTATTTTTCCTTTTTACAAACTTAAAACTAACTATGTACAAATACCTGTAATAATTTAAGAAACAACATTTAATGTCTCTATCAAGGTCCGGGCCGGATAAGATAGTGATTACACCTGTAAAATTCCCCTGATTTTACCCTGATCCGGGCGCTTATTTGAAGATCCGGGCCGGATCTTAACCTAAGAGGCTGTTTCTGTTCGGGATAGATCGATAATAATAGGATGGCTCTGGGCTAGAACACCGGCCTGATAACCAATGGGATTTGGGTTCAAAACCCGGTCCGACCAGCCTTTTTTTAATTTATTTTAAAATTTTCGACACTTGCGCCACCAACCTCTTAGGTAACAGAACTAAAAAGTCGGCGTCAATTTAGCATAGGGCTTTGGACTTCTATTTGTAAGTATCTATATTCTTTGACTGCGGTTAGTGCTGTCACTGTCCTCTTCCGTTCGAAGGGCTAAACTAAAAAGTCGATAATCAGTTTGAATTTGTGAAAAGCTAAGCAGACTAAATTATTATTATAATTAAACATACAATACATACATAACATATAATACATACAATGCGTGACTTAAAAGTTTCATAAGAAGCTGCAACAAGTGTTTGAGGTTTGGGAGTTTTATTTAAAATGCAGCCAAGTTTTGAAAAACCAATTATTTAACTTGAAAACCTTGTGTTATATAATCTTGTAACAATAGGAAATCAAGAAGACTCGAATTTTATTTTAAAAAGCCTTGAATGGCATGGCTATCAAGTTATTTTATTATTGGGTGCATTCACAAAAAATTATATTATGATCTGAAAGTTGCAGCATGTCAAATTGTTCTTTTTTCTATTGTCGGTCCAGCTTTCAACGCAAGGGGTTTTATTGACTTTGCCCAAAAGTGATTGGGATTGATAAGTATAAAAAACCGCTGTCAATTTATTGACAAACTAATTATAAATCTTCAATTCAAGATGATAAATAGAAAGCTGGATAGAGTACATTGCATTCTAAGTAAATACCTATAACTCTATGAAAAAGCAAAAGTACAACTTATCATTTTCAGTCTGTAACTTTCATAATATTTTACGAATCTCTAAGGTTTTGATCTCGAATTCAAACTTGACTGCTTTGCTTTCATTATAACCATGGTAAAATTTTAAGAAAATCAATATTTTATCAACACTAAATGACATATTCAAGTTTGAAACGTTGCCTTGAATTGAAGTTTCATAATTATTTCATCAAAAATAAAGGTTTAATTAGTTTCTATAATTTGGTGTACATAAAAATAGCATTTTTTGGCAAGGGAGCTCTTTGCCAATAAATTTTAATTTAGAAAATTGAGCATCAAGTTGCATCTAAGTTTATTATACTTACATCTAAGTAAATGTAAAAAGATTTTTAAATTTATCAATTATTAAAAACAAATACCTAATAAAATTAAAATTCTATAAATACTCTGTCTCAATTCTTATATTTGGGGTGATAAACTTGTTTTAAAAATTTAATAAAAACACAATCAGAGAATTTTATAATAACTATGTCATAGTTTATTATACAATTATTATGAGTGGCTAAATGTACTGATAAATTTTATTACTAATGGTATAGATGATTATTATAACATTTTTATTTCGTAACTGTAAGATGTAAACATTAACAACTTGTTTTAATGATATGATTAGTTTCATACATAGCAAGTGACTTCTCAATAAATTTCGAAATCATATTTTTTTTTATTTGTGTAATGCCCAAAATTTTGTTCGATTATTTAGTACAAGTTTTTTTTAAAAAGATTATATCTCATCAAATACCTGGTTGTTATCTTTTAAAATAGAAATTTTAATCATAGATACATAATTATATAATTATAATCACAATCATTGGTAAAAATATCTTTATTTTTAAATTGAATAAAATTGCTTTTTTGAATCGCTCATCAATTCTTTGTAGGAAACTTGTTATACTGTACCCTTTTGGAAATTGTTCATCAAAATCATTGAATTATTTTTCAAGTCTCATAATTGTTTTTCAACTAAACATATCTAATTTATAAAAATTAAATCAAACAAGTTTCAGTTCATACACTAACAATAATCCTCTTTTTGAAAAATCTGTTGCCTGTGAATACACTTACAAAATTCTTCCTTCTTTCCTTTTTTCTTAATACTTATTATTCACTGCGTAGAATTTTTACGCAAAATATATGTATATACTAAAGTCATACGGTATATTCAATAATAATTGTAGTGAAATTCCGCTACTAAATATTATAGTATACCATGTTCTTTTAGAAGTAACGTTTGATAAGTTGTTTGGTATCTATTGTTATCTCTCAAATGACACATCAAACATTTAGCACAATTTCATTATTGAATTTGTTACTTTAAAACAAAGTTATATTATTTACAATGCAGTCACACAAAAAAATGACTCAGTAGGACATTAAATGAACTTTGTACTCCATATTTATGTTTAGTCAATAATATAATTTTTTTTATAATGATAAAATAGTGGAATAGGTAAAAATTAAAATTACTCAAAAAATACATGTAATCTTTTTGTTTTTATTTTCAAATAATAAAAGTTAAACTATTAAAAATAATATTTTAAAAATAAAATAATGATATCATAAATGATAATAAGTATAATAGTTATCATAATCAAAATATTTATGGAAACTATAATTAATATAATTATTAGAAATAATAAGTTTACTTCAATTGTAAAATGTACCGTAGCTAATACACAAAATGCAAGAGATAATTGAATACACTTGTGTACCAAACATAAATAGTAAAATTTTTATTTCAAATGATTTCCATATAACTTGAAACTTTTTAGAACTTGAAAAATCCAATGTGAATTAATACATGTAATATAAACAATGTCGTCAATTAAATAAACAAGAGTATTTGTATGCATAATTAAATTAATTGCAATGGCGGCGTAAGTTTAGATATTGATCCTAAACTTTAAACCTATTTAATAAAAGCAAACATTTATGAATTTAGTTGAAATATATTTATGTGAAATTTAATGGAATACGCTATAAAACCCGAATTTGAGAATTATAATTGTTCATGCATGTTGACCCATGGATGTTATTTAAACAAATTGATAATTAATATTAAAAATTGTTCAAAGTTCTTATGCATAGAAAGGACCTTGATGAAAATTTACTTATAACTTAGTTTTAAAAAGAAATATATATATATCTTACAGTTTGTGTAAGAACAGTACATTTTGCTGGAAGTATATTATCAAATCAGTAATAAAAGAGCCTACTATAATTATCCTTATTTACAATTACGACTGATTTCACTTGATGCCATTCATTCATTCAGTTTTTTCTTTATCTTCTCTAAAATTAAGTTACAGATATCTTACTATGTAAACTATTATTTACAATACCACATAATAGTATGATTTTTTCTTAATTATATGTAGAGCTGAAGTTTATTGTTAAATATGTAAATACGTGATTCGTTTTTGACGTTTGCTAGTGGATAAACACGTTCTTTATCTCTTTGTCGTTGTGCTACTCGATATTTAATGTTTATGATCGAATCGCAAATTAATTCATATATCCGTGCTTAAATATTAACAATGTTGTACAGAAATGTTGTACAATGTTTGGCCAACATCCGCTCTAGGTTTACTTCACTTTTTTCTGTTAAACATTGATATATTTTCATATTAAAAACTAGAGCATTCATATCAATCCATCAAAACATTTTTATATCTGTATAAACGTGCATTCGTTTCATACTGTTTCTTTTTAAATTTTGTAAATTTTGTGTGTTAAAAATCTTTACTTGGTCAAAAAACAAATTTGATGTCTTATTTACATGTTATTATTATTTTTTTTTTAAGAAATGTGGATATGTCGACAATTGTAAAATTTGAAAAAATGCCTACTATTCTCTGTCACAGTGACACATGCACAAACTTAAATTCCATCAAATTGGTATTTTATTATTTTCTTTTTATTTTTCTGACTCATCATGAGAGTTGAACTAACATTACCCTGTGTATTTCTATGTGGATATATCAGACACCGAGCATGTGAGTGCCTGACAGTCAATAAATATTATAAGATCCGTTTTGTAATACTTTTTCCGTTTGGTTTTTTTGCAGGCCAATACGTCTGTATGGATTAACGTAAAATTTGACTATAAGTATAATAATATATTTGTTGATTATGCTCGTCAGTTTGATTTCGAGAGCAAACCAGCAGACTTGCACACAAAGAACCTGAAACCAAGTAGGTTTATTCCAAAATTGCACTTCCAAACTTAATTCCAATTACTCTAATGTGCAATCATGATTTTACAATATTTTCATGAGCCATCGAACTATAAAGAAATGGATAAAACGCTAAAATTCAATACCGGATGAAGGAGGTAGATCCGTTTAACGAATTATCACCTCCTCGGTTGTACCTTCACGGGCGAAATACACATTCATACATTTTATTTACAATCTATTCATTAATTTTAATAGTCAATTAATTAGTTTTATTGAATAATTTTAATTACATTACTGCAATAGGAACTTTTTACTCGGGAATGACTTTAAAGAAGAATCTGTACAGATACATTAGAAACGGCAGTAATACAAATCATTTAATAAAAATTCGATTCGACAAGGAAACGAAAAAAAAACAAAAGGTTTGAAATATAATCGTTACTTTTATTCAACATATTTTCAATATTTTTGGTTAACATCGACGCTACAGATGAAATAATTTTTCAAATACCAGCGCGTGAAGGATGATATTTTTTATTTTTTTGTATTTTTCATGCAGTAAGTGTACTTGAAACAGTTTTTGTCGTTAAATAAATTTATTTAGCGCAAAAAAATTTAAAGTTACATTGAGATTTTTCTACAAATATTATTCATTATAAATCGATGTAATTAACGCTCAGATTTATACTCGAATTACTATACATAATACAGAAAATAATTTTGGCGTAAATTTTAAATAATAATTGTATGATACAAATTTAAATTTGCTAATTCTCAACGATACGAATAAACACAAATTCCTACTTTTTAATGATCATCGTTTTGAGGCAAATCGCTAGGAAGAAGTAGCGCGCGAAATACATCAAATAAAAATCCGCTCGTAGTACTTATGAAATTATACATACACATTTAATTGTAATCATGTGTTAAACAGGAGACGAAGGTTCAAACAAAAAAAAACGATTCACGTTCGTTTATTACCTTCGTCTCGTACAAAACGTCGTTAATGGCGTCTCTGTTCTATAATTTAAGACGCAAATGATACACAATAAATACACAATAATTTACACATAGAACACATGTCGATATATCTACTTACATGTAAAGATAGATATTATAGTCTAATTCAAAGTGGACAGAAATTACCTAGTTATGTACACAATAAAAAAATTATAAATAATTATTATCGTCGTATTTATAATTCCTAAAATGTTCTGTTGGTCGCACCGCTTAGGACATCGAGCAGCTAGTGATTCTCCGCTATTCACAAGATGTCTACATGTATATATATAATTATATATTTGGTTCTGAAGAGTAATAGTTAGTAGAAGTAGTTAGTAGATTTAGTAAAAGTTTTAATAGCATAATATTAGTAATATTAGTAATAAGAGCGAGGTAGTATATTAGTAAAAGATAGAAGTAGCTTTAGTAGCAGTCATAGTATGACTCTGTCCGAGGATCACACGCAGAAGTTTTTGCCGAGGATCAGTGTCGTTCAAGCACAATCGGGCTGTTAGCGATAAAAGTCCTGCAAATTACACGCCATTCGACGCTGCTGCTGCTGATGCGGATGTTGATGCAAGTGATGTTGCTCTTGCATGTAAATCGCGGCCGTCGCTCCGCCAGGAGCTAAAGACTGCTGATGTCACTCGGTCAGCGGGCTAGATTTGGGCTGACCGTAGCCGCCCGAGCTGGCGACCAGCGCCAGAGGCAGGGGCGAGCCAAGCGGCGTCGAGTGCGGATGATGCAGTGGCGACGAGTGCGAGGCCATCGTCAACGGCGGGCTCGACATCGTACTGGCCAGCGAGGCGAACACGGACGCGGACGGCGCTGGCGAGGCCATCGTCGGACTGCCCATGGCCGCGGTCGGCGGATTTATCCTCTTTTCTTTCTGCCGCCTGAAAAGGAGAAACAGTTCAGCTCGATCTATGTATAAAGCAACAGATTCATGAAAATGCGTTGTGCATTCTCGTGCTCGAACGTATGAACTAAAGCAAATCCCATGTCTCATAGAGTAAAGTAACGCACCTGTTGCAGAACCAGACTCTAACTACTTCTTTCTCCATGGCCAGATTATCCGCTAAGGCGGTGATTTCCTCGGAGGTCGGCTTTGGATTTTGCATGAAGGCTTTTTCGAGGGCTATCCGCACGCTCGTCTCGATGCTCGTGCGTTTTTTTCGCCGTCGACCGATCGCCTCGGGCGTGGTCATTGGATTCGACAGCGAGTTCGGATTGTTGAGCGAGTTATCGGCATCCTCGAGCCACTTTTGTAGCAGCGGCTTGAGCTTGCACATATTTTTGAACGATAAATTCAGAGCTTCGAACCTGTCATGTGGAAAAGAGACGACATTAGATACACAGTAGTTACGCAGATATAGGATTACAATATGATCAAGTAGGCGCGACGACTCACCTCGATATCGTCGTTTGAGAAAAGTCATTGCCGTAGAGCTTGCCCATGGCCAAGCCGACGTCGCCCTGAGTGAAGCCAAGCTTGATTCTGCGCTGCTTGAACGTCTTGGCGAACTGCTCGAGCTCCTCGAGATCGGTCGTCTCCTCGGGCGACGGCTCGTGCCTCGACGTGCTCGCCTTGATCGAGGGTGGCGTTCCCGGTGGCGGGGGCGATCGGTGTTGATGATCCTGTTGTTGCTGCTGCTGCTGCTGCACCGTGGACGTGGCCGAAGACTGCTGCTGTCGACTGATCGCGTTGCTGTTCTGCAGAGCGGCCGAGTGCTGCTTCTGCATGACTTGGATCTGCTGGGCAGCCTGCGCGACCGCTTGCTGCACCTGTAATTGCTACGTATTACATTAGTATAACTCAAATAATCGAGCCACTTGCACTCGTTCATTCGCACTCTCACCATCTTACTTCGAACGTGTCTGCTCGATAAATATAATTGTTTTACGTATGATTCGCTGCCCTAAATGTTTGTTTACTCTTTCGTAATATTGGTGCGAATTTTAGACAAAGCTCAATCATGAAATTTTACAGTGTCCGATCTTACGAAAGAGAGATCGGATCCCCTCGACTCGTTCACCTGTCAGGTGAACGAGCCGCACGAGTACATTGAAGTCTTGAATATACGTCAAATTGATTCTTAAGAGCAACCCCGTGCACTTGTACGTATCGTCGCGATCGATTTATCTTCACCCCTTGCCGAAAATGCAGATGCGCGTGCCCTCTAGTCTGTGCCAAATCATAATGTACTCGCGCTTTATATCGCATTGTAATGCAGGCATAAATGTTCGTACGGGCATAATCGTACGATAAATACAAGAGGGTAGGACAGGTAGCGTAATGGTGCACCCTTTGGCTTGCACGCGGAGATCGTAATACATACGTGTATTCCGTGTGGATGGGTATATATACGGAAGGAACAGGCGCGTGTGACCTTATATTATTTAGGCAAAGGGATGAAGACGACAGACTCCCGTGTGGCCGCGCCGAGCTATTATATGCTTATTTGGGCTGGCCCTATAAACGGCATAACTTTACATCTTCTCTCAGGGTGAGTGAAAAAGTCAGACGGTACGCGCACACGGTGTACGCGGTAAAGTACGTGGCACGTGGCTCTATTTCTTCCATTCTGTCTCTTTCGTAAATATATGTACCTCTTTAGCGAGCGAAAAAAGGGGTTCTCGGTATACGGAGAGAGAGCGAGAGAGAGAGAGAGAGAAGACGAATTTCTAACGTGGGGCGCCAAGTCGCGTGTCTCTACATTTATACAGGCATGTGCTTATATACATTTGCGCATACATCATCGTATATAAACTCGGCTATTCAAATTGGGGACACACGTTCGTACGTATACACACCGGTGAGTGTTTAGGGCGCGATTCGTCAGGCATTTATTCCGTATGCGCGTCTATGTCTATATATACGGCTTGATATTTCGAGCTACCTGTTTTAAACAGTCTGCGGTTCTTGTGGCGCGCTCGGGTCCCCTTGCATTGCATTATAATATATAAAGCCGGTGCGCGCTCTATGTTAATAGGGAAGAGGGATTTTTCGCACCGAGGGTCAAGTGCACGCGCCTATATTATGTGTCGCCACTGCTTCTGCTGCTGCTGCTGTGTATACACGCATTAGCTCGTAATAAACGAGTGCGTATGATTGTGCTTGCATTGTATAATACACGGGGACCAATTGAATCGTCGAGATTACGCGACGTACGAATGTCCTTCGTTTCGAAAGTTTTATTATTATCGCGCACTGTTAAAATTTTTTTTTATTCGCGTAAATTCCACAAAAGATCGGAGCTCTGTACCGTATATTGTTACGTGTAGTCGACGACGAGCGCGCGCTCGATTCCAGATGCCGCGCGCGCAAAACGCAATGAATTTATAATGCGGCCAATAAATCGAACAGATTTTCGAATTAAGGCACGCTCGACTGCTTTGAGATCGCGGTTGCGCGCGGTTACACATCGTGCCGAGAGGGTAGTTTACGATCGGAAGTTATTCAAATATAGCCATTGTTGAGTGTAGGAGGTCGTTAGAAAGGATCGCCATAAATTTGGAGGCAGAGAGAAAGCCAAAAAGAAAAAAAAATTCATCGAGCCTGGAAAAAGTCACAAAAAGGATATTAGCGTGGGCCGTCGCGCACCGGTTTGTCATGTATTCGTCGTTATTATTTCCAATAGCTATAATTGCTCTAAACGTGCGGAGTCGCGCGCGAAACGCATAAATTGTGTACCGAATTGCAAATAAAAAAAAAGAAAGAAAGAAAAAGAGAGGAAATTGTAGGACTAATCGAGCGTATTATTGACACCGGGTTCGCGCGAGGGTATGCCTGCCCTTACGCATATCGGGGTTCGTGCGCGTGTCCGCATACGCAGGCTCCGACAGTAAGAAAAAGCTGTTATATGTATAAGCAATATTAGAAGCTGCCGACAGGCATGGGCACACGAGAGTCTCGACAATGGCGCGCGCGCGCGCGCGAGGGGTGCAAAATCTGAATAAGCCGTTCGCCGGAGCTGCGACACGCGCTCAACGTCTTTTTCCTTTCTGCCTGCTGAAAGGGGTTGTTGTGCACCTCTTATAGGATATACACTACTAGATGCCTCTTATATCATTATGTAAGACCGAAATATCGCGTGTAACGTTCCTCACCTTTGGCCGGGCCCCGCGCACGCGTTCGGCTCCTGCTGCTGACAAAAAGGGTCGTCGCGCGAGCTCACCGCGCCGGCAAGGTGCCTGAAGGGACTCTCTCCTTTCTCCGTACTCGTCTCCTATCGCACCCTTATAGACGCGCTTCTTACTTCGAGACATTAATAACAATGTACATCGGCGAAAGTGAAAGCTTATACTTTTTTCCATTCTCGCGTTTATGGGCGCACACGACGACGATCGTTGCAGCCACCGATGACTTAAAAAGTCGTTTACTCGTTGCTTTCATCCGCAGAAGGAACAAAGTCTATCCGAGCATTATATAAAGTGCAGTAGGCAGCCGTCTATACAGCTATGAGCGCGTAAATCGGTTGCCTGGAATTCCTAAAATACACATTCGACACAATTGCGCGCGGAACGTAACGAATCGAGCGACGGTTTTCTTTTTTATCCAGCTCTATTTTTTCAAGCCCGAGGGGGAAGTATTTTTTTTTTCTTTCGTCGGAGGGCTGGGTAAAGAAGTTCACGATAATCAACGCTGACCTTTGATGAATCGACGAGGTGCGGTAGAGGAAAAAAAAAACGTTACTTTCGATTACGGCGCGTCTCAGTCGCTCCATACAGATTCATTCGAGCGTAGGGCTCACGGAGTCGTAATAAAGCCAATGATAAGCGAACTCTCGGGGCTTACCTGGTTCTGCAGGAAGAACGGAGCGGAGGCCGGATTCGCCTGGATCATGGCGAGCTGCTGCAGGGTCTGCGTGATCGCGTTCTGGTGCTGCAGCTGCGAGGCTATCGCCTGGATTTCCTGGGGCGCGAGGGCGCCCAGCTGGCCAGCGTGCATGAGCAATTGCTGGCTGACGAGCTGGGCTGCCGCCAGCGCGGCCGGCGACGTCGCGCTGCCGCCATTGTTGCTCGTGCTGTTGTTGTTGTTGTTGTTGTTACTGCTGCTGTTGTTGTTGTTGTTGTGACTGTTGTTGTTGTTACCACCACTGACGTTTATGGACGTGTTGTGGCTGTTGTTCGTGAGCTGGTGACTGCTCGAGACACCGGAGCTCGGCGACGAGGCGCTGGCGCTGGTGCCGCCGCTGCTGTTGCCGCGCTGCGAACCGTCCGTCACCTGTGAAAATCGCAATTTTCACGATTAATTTCAAGCCTACAAGAATGAATCGCGCACACCTTTCTTACGCGTGTACTCGATCGAATTTTCCCTTTTACACTGGTTTCCGATAAAATGCCCAATTGAAAACTTGCGCGATATTGATAAATGATTTTATGAAGTGCGTAACCGAATCGATAATACTCCTTCTCTTTGCTCGTGTTGTCCGGCTCATACGATGGCACACAACGAGTCGAGTCCAAAACATTCATTATATCGATCTGACTCGGCTTGAATGACGATCTTTAGAAGTGCTCCGGCATCTGCGGCTGATATATTGAACATTATCTACCGTTGCAATGCAGTTCGTGAACGTAGAAAAGATAGAACATACATAATATATAACGCGCGTAATTTAAGCGTGACGCGCTGATCGCACGGATCGATCCACCCTCGGTTCTCTCTCAAAAGTAAACGCGTTGCAGCAGCCGCGCGCGTTGAGTGCAACAAAGCGACTGTTTACTCTCCGATGGCTGTAGCGACGAGATCTTAGCCACATAATAAAATCGCCTATTGCGTAGCTGTACGCCGACGTCTTGTCCCTTTGTACCGTGCGGATATTTTTCACGTAATCGTCGTTTCTCTTGCGTGCGATGGTGGTGTACGTAAATAATAATAATATGAAGAAAGCCGATCGCTACCCGCGCCGAATTCCCTTTGACTCCGGAGTAAAACCGATGTCGATTCGCTTATTTATTACTCAAACATTGAATAAATCAAGTTTTTTCTTTCGCTGGGTCTTAGGGGTACTTCCGTCGACGGGTCCTCGATGTACACCCACCGCTCGTGACGTACATGTGCATTATATCCAAATTTTTCGTAGGCAAACGAGAGTGGCTAATGTACATACCGCTGCACACACACTGCAGAGCTGCACGCGGAGGCGGATCCACGAGCCAACGAATCGTGATTTTATTTTTTTTTTTTTTAGCGTGCCACAGGGCAGATGGTCATTTCCGATGAATACATTTTCGGGATTTGAATCTTTCTTTTTTTTCTCTCCTACGTATATATTTCTTATATTCCTTTTTATTCTAGTTTTCGCTTTTTTGGGCTCCTATATACGCGAGGCATTATGTGCGTTGATGTCTTTCGAATTGTGAGCCCAGTAGTAGCCTCGCGAGATCGACTGCCTCTCTCTCACTCGCCTGCGCCAAAGAATTGATGTGATTTTTTTCTAAGAATCTTTGGAATTTGCATGCTGACGCTGTTTGGACGCAGGTTGTCCCTTGGCGTCTAGACTATTTTTATTTGAATTATCCTCGACGGCGTGTGTGTGTGTGCAGCAGGCCATTACATTATGCGCGTGCACACGCGCACAATGCAACTTTTCAATTATGTATATTTATTGTGTATCAGCGTCGATGCATACAAATGTGTCGCATAAATTCTCGAGGCCTCGATCGACGACGTTCGAGGCAAAATACGTGTACGTGTATCGGCGTTGAAACGAATTATCGAAAAAAAAAATTAACTTGCTCGCACCGAAGGACCTCGGACGCGACAAAAAAGTTACTTTCCCATCGAAATCTCCCCTAACTTGACCGAAAAAAAAGAACTGACCGACCGGCGCGCACCCCTGATATAAAAAAGTGTCATTTGGACGTCTTTTGAAAGTAGAAAATATAAAAAAGAAAGAAATAAAAAACTGAATCGCGTGAGTGCCATTTGCATGCTCGCTGCAGATTTTCTCCGAACAATGCCTCGATCGTAACGTTCACGTAAACGTGGGAAGCGACGAATACGAACCGGACAATTACGCGATAAGCATCGATGCAGTGGCAGTACAGCGGCATATTTGTCACCTGTCGCACAATTAGCCACCCCTAATTTTTTTTGTATGTGTGTCTCTTTGCCTTGATCGTGTACACATAACGTATATAAAAGTCCACCTGTGGTTTCGTACATTTTTTTGCCCAACGAACGTAAAAAACGACGACAGAAACACAAAATCGCGATTGTGTATATTGAGAAATATTTCAAGTACACTTGCGCCAAGTGGCGAAATTGTTTTCATTCATGGTGCGATGCACGCGAGAATCACACAACACTACGCGAATATTCGTTAGGATAGAGTGGGATAAAAAGTACTCACCAGATTGAGCGCCTCTCGGTCCGAGTCGATCGAGTCATGATCGAGATGTGCCTCGTGGCTGTCGTGGACGTCGCTGTTGATGCTGCGGTCGTCGCCGCTCAGGTCGTGAGCTTCGACGTCACCGTGCAAATCAGCATCTGAAATGTAGCCGTATTTTTTACGTGAAAAGTTTTTCGGGATAGTACTCAAAAAACTTAACAACAATAATAACTGATTCGGATCTAAAAATGTAAACTGATAATTTTTCAGACAAGATGATATTTCATCTAGCCTATATTGCGGACGAGTGAAAATGTGCATTTTTAATAATTTTATCAACACTTTTTATAAAATAAAGAAAATAAGAGGTGCTAAAGACACTTCGGGAATTGAGTTACGTGGCTATATACGTCGACAGAGATTTTTAAGCGACTGTACGCGACGACGAATGATAACTATATCATAGGTGATTTAGAGAAATTGTCTAACGAAAAACCTAATATACATGCGATACTCGTGTTATTTTCCCCCATTAATGAGCAACCAAACGACTGCGATCAAACCTTATATGCATGATGAGTCGAAAATAATCACAGAGTAAACAAAAAACTTTGATTTCGTAAGGTACTTGAACTGTATTATTCATTCTATATCATATTTAAATATGTTGATTGCCAGTCGGTACGAAATTATCACTGAAATAGTATTTACGATGAATAGATACGGCTCAGATACTAGTTAGCATAGCGATACCGCGAAGCAGCGACATACATATTAGTAAACCGAACTAAATCCATCGCTCTCTATATTTTCAAATTTAAAAACAAAAAACAGTTGCACTCAAAACAAGTGGCCGTACAGTCGTTGTTGTTCTGCGGCCGATATTTGCGATGATGATGGCCCCGAAAGATCGGCGTCCTCGTCGGCGTGCTCGTGGCCGCGTGCAGCCTCATGTCCGCGAACAACATCCTCGGCTCTTCCAAAAACACCATTTTTCGGGCTAGCAGAGTACTGGTACTGATTTTTTTTGTCATCTATAGTCCGCGCCGGTCACCATAATAATATCACAGTCTGTTGTTTGTTTATGTTTCGCCGGCGCAACGTGGATGACTCTCATTCACTTTATTTTATTTTATCACTGATTAGCAGTTCACATCTGGGAACACACTCGTGCACTGACACTGATGATCTCATTCATCGACTCCGCGAAAGAATCGCCTCGTGCAAATCTGCGCAGCCGATATCGCACGCGCAAAATCGGCAAGATATCGGCGTGCTGTTTGTTGGTGGCGTGCGTGCCAAACGTTATTCTGCTCGAGCGGCGCGTGTTTCGGTCACGCTGTCGCACCCAGACTGACGCTCCGATCGGAGCCGGAGTCGATCGAGGCGGCGGCAAGCAAAGCAGAATCATATTATAGCACGGCCACATACAGCAAACTGCACGCACACGGAACGGGCGGCTCGAGTCCGCTCTTCCCCTTCTCTCTCGTCGCGTCTCTCGGTCTACCTCGCTCTTGGCGCGGCAGAGCGAGATATTTCCTTAGAGCCTGGGTATACCAACGGGGGGCCCTGTGTACTCGATTGGCCGACTCGGTCGCTCCTGCTCTCATTGGCTCGATGCCTCCACTCATTCATTGTTCGGCCGCGACGAAAAACCCCTTTACCATATACACATACTATATACGTGTACATATATAGCCGGCAAGGATACATACATAAGCATACATGAATAATACAGAGACCGAATGGGCCCCACTCTCGGGCGCTCGCTTTTGTTTCGCTTCGCGTATAGGTATATGCTATATGCGTACAGCGAAACTCGCGCTTCTTCTTTCGCTCGCAGCGAGACGCCCTCGCGCATACATTTGCACTTTATGACCGCTGAAATTCAGACGCTTTTTTTTAACCCCCTGAGCTATTGTCTACTTTTTGTTGGGCTTTCCATAACGACTTTCGTTACATTGATTACTTCGATACGCTTCTGCAACCCATTTTTTTTTATGATTGAGTATTTTAAAAAAAATTAAAATGGGAGAGAAAAAGAGTTGGATGGGCATATGGGGAAGGTCGAGTCGTTGCGGTTTCATGCCCAACCTGCATAAATATATTGCACTTTATTAAATTTATCCAACTGAATCGATAGATCTAAAGAGCTTCGATAAAATATATAATGCGTACGTTACGAAGCATTTGTACGTTTACTTTTTACCAACGGAAATTTCGCGAGCGAATTCAAAATCATGAGAACGTAAACGAGAAGCCTGTGGATAAACGAAAAGACAGCAAAAGTGAGATTTATAATGGCAGCATAGAGAGAGAGAGAGAGAGAGAGATGCGAAAAGCTCCGTTTGATAAAACAGCGCGCGCGGGGTTCACAAATATAATTTGACAAAGTATCTGACACTATTTGGGTGTTTCGCGCCCCAAGATACGGGCCTCCTCTAATTTCCTAAAAGACGACGAAATGAACGTTGGATTACAGACCTGCCACTGTGGGAACATCGGGCTGCGGAAGGGTCAGCTTCCAATTTTTTCGAAATCCGCAGGTAAAAAGGTAGAGCGCGTAGCGCAGCAAGTTCCGGATAAAAAAAGGTTTTGCGCAATAAGTAATAAGGGTGCATACACGCATGCACACACATACACACGTATATTTATATGCATGAAACGCGCGAGGTTCCCATGCGCATGACGATGACTTCTTTTTTTTTGGGACAAAAAACGCTAAAAAGTGAAGCGAAGACCCCAATCGGTAAAGTATTAGAGGGTCGTCATCGTCGTGGCAAGTTAAATTCATAAACGTAGCGGAGAGCTGCAGAGAGCGAGAGCAAGAGAGAAGATGGTATACATGGGCGAAAGAAGACGAAGAAGAAGCAAGCGAGAGAGAAGCGTATATAGTTCGATACAAGCGAAAAAAAACGCCAGATGAATGAGAGCATAAAAAATCAACCGCTTGCAATCCAGTCTCCATCATCATCATCATCATCTATCGTTCGGGCGCGCACTACTACTATTCATGCAAGAATTTTTTGGGGCTAAAGCGCTCGCGTTTTACCTACTTTCCTTCGATCCGTGCCTCCCTCTTCGGGTCGCGCATCTTTTTTGTGTCGAACCATACATAATGTATACAGCGCACATACGTACACGTACATGTATACAGGAGAGAGATGCAGATTCCCCCAAAAAATAGTAAAGTAAAGTAAAGTAAAAAAAAGGCTCCGAGAAGTAGTTACAGGTATATATACGCAATGAATGCGTACGTAGCAGTGCATATATAATACACAAGGGCCACGAAGTAAACGCGCACATCCTCCGGTAAGTTTAAATGTATAAAAAAATTGAGAGAGAGAGAGAATATGAGACCGGTGAGCACACAAACGCATATCTATTGTGATGCGTATTCTGTATACATAAAGATATAGAAGCTGGAAAAATATATACCCTTGGGCCTTAGCCTACGATCAATCTTTTTATAGTGAAATCGAGAAATTTAGAGCATCGGTGTGCGCTTATTTTTACACGCGATGCGCGCATTTACAGCGATTAATCTCGAGGCATATCAAGTTATACGCGCTGCCAATTCATTTTTGCCTGAATCAATATCGAAATCAACGTAGAAATATAAAAATTTTCCCGCGCTCCGTAGCTTTTCGCGCGTGGTGCACATTTTTTTCTGAATTTTAGCCGTTGAGCCGTCGAGAAGAGTTATTTCATCGGAAATGTTGGTGCGCGCGCGGGGAGAGAGAGAGAGAATAAACGAAAGAGTGCTGTAAAATTATTCGCAGCGGTAGCATAAAGAATATTACCAATTTTTGTATATCCCCGAAGTTACGTGCAGCTATACATACCCTATAGCTATTACGAAGTGCTTTGGGTATAAGTACCGCGCATAGAGTACAAAATATGTGTGTGTGTAAGTGTGTTTTGGTAAAAAAAGAAGGAAAAAAAGCAACGATATGTACCTTACATCGCAGCGATTCCCCAAAAATATCGAGAAAAAGGCGGCGAATTCCGTGAGAAAGCGAAAATAAGGCACGTAAAGTGCTGAAATTGAAAGCGGCATGAACGTACAACGACGCACGGGTTCAAAAAATCGTGTATGTGTGCGGTGGTCGCGGCGATGATAATCGCTTCGCTGATTTTTTAACCCAAAAAGAATAAAATAGAAAGAAGGTAGAAAGGTGGAAAGAGAAAGAGAGAGAGAGAGAGAGTAAAAAAGGGTGTCTACGACTTTTTGGGGTGATTTCTTCCATATTTTTACATCAGGTATACACCCTTTTTGCGCATAAAAAGCCAGTACTTTGACGCATTCACGCGCGCGAAACTAGTATTTGTGTACACACACTGGCAGCTATTAAATGGCTCACCTCAAGAATATCGCGAAACGAACGGTTACGATTTCTTTACGTTACGAGCGATTATTAATATAAACGCGCGTATCCCCGTATCCGTCGTTGTTGCGCCCTTTTTGCGCGCCGAGAAACGTTGCAGATCGCGAAAAGAATAAAGAAGCATTAAAAAAAAAAAAAAAAATAATGTAGCTGCAACGATGAGCGAGAGAGAAAGATGACTTAACGTGTAACCGTCACTTTTCTACACTTTTTCGGTTTTCTTCCGTCTCTCTCGCTCACTCAAGCCCATATCTTTGTTGTCATCATTTTTTTTAAGCGAAAAACTGCGCAGGCAAAAAATGCGCGCGCGAGAGGAGATGGTAAGGGAGAAGTGGAAAAAAATATATCTATAGACACGGAATTTTGACAACTTATCCGACGAATAGAAAAAAAAACGGCGCTTATTTTCGGTTGCAATCGCGCGCGGGCTGCGCGGCGCAAATCGGCGCACAGAAGAAATGGCGCTCTGCCAGCGATCAGTGGTAGAAGTAGTAGGGCCTTGAGTGAAAAAAGAGCACCTTAACTGTCATTTTTTACTCTATCTTCGGTGGGTCGCGATATTTTTAACCGAAAAAGTTACAGGTACATTCTAGTTGTGTACGAGGAAAGAAAAAAGGAGAGGCGAACGCGCGATTGGCTGCTGCGAAGTCTTGAACGAACACACAGAAGCCGCGCCTAAGACTTCTGAGGTAATGTAAGGGACGGAGCGTTGACGTTAAGACGGAAGCTTGAACTTGATTTCCGTTGGTACTTTCCTCTCTTTCTCTTTC